GAAATAATGAATATAGTGCTGATTATCTTTGTGTTCTGCTCTAAGTCTCTTCTAACTAAAGTTTCTAAAATTTAAATTTCTTCTAAAATGAGACTAATAAGAACCATGATCATTGTAGTTCTTTAAGAGAAAGCAGTCTAACACAGAAGAAATTAATATGAAAACCTGAAATACTATTATGTTGAATTGACAGATAATCCTATCATTCTCAAAGAAAATTAAAGAAAAACATGGGCTAATCATCATCACGCATTTTAGGGTGTGTAAGAATTCATATTTTATAGCATCGGTGCCTCTGTTCACTCTAGTTATTACACTTTGAGGGGCCCACACTGAATCCACAGAGAATATCAGTGTGTGTCTGCTGGTTTTGGCCTGAAATATGGCAAAATTCTGCTCATTGGTCTTCACATTGGAAGCTTATAAATGAGCTACATTATAATCTGTTTTGCAGGTGTTTTTTAACTTGTTAGGCAAAGCATTGCTGATTTATGGTTACATAAATACCCCCTCAAGATCTGAACAAAAGCAATGTAATTTACTTACAAGTTTGAAAAAAAGAATTTATTTTCTCCAGTCTTAGCTAAAGCATTACCAAGAAAGTTAAGTTAGGAGGCAGTGTGCTGTGTCAAGGGGGCAGAGGAGGGAAGGGAAGAACGGACAAATTCCTGTAGAATGCATATTTTAAAATCTTAGGAAGCAACCAACCTGAGTTTCTTGTGAATTTGCCTGTTTACAGTGCTCGCTCCGTTTTTAATTTGTTCAACAAGTCTTCAGTTGGAATCCTTACTGTGCCAGGCCCTGGATTACAGGAACAGGAAGTGACAAATTGATGTGTTGGTCCCAGAGGTCGTCTGAGTTGTTGCTCCTTGCTCTCCCTCGATAGATGAGCAGGACCCCTGAGGTTTTCTCTCATCCTAACGCTGTAATAGATGGCACTAAGTGAACATTGATTCATTTCAGGGGTTATGAGCCAAGACATTTTGATAGAGATCACATGTTTTTACTCTTTTCTTCTTACCTACCTCAAAATATTTTATGTTTTGCCTTTAAGATTACTTGTCTTTTTTTGGCAAAACAACGTTTCACAGTGACTACCTAATTGAGTGATGTGGATGGATGGATAGATGGACACATGGATGATGGATGGATGAATGCTTGGCTGCCTTTTATGTTTGCCATGTTAAGCAGCCATCTGGTAAAGTAAATGTCCTTGAAAAAGTGGACTAATGATGACATCCGTAACACACATTAGAAATTACCTACCTCATTCTGACAATGTGCATTTTAATATCCAATCATGAGTATTTTCACTTATTTTATTTTCCTTTAGCTTCAGTGCTGTAATGCATAATTGGCGGTTGCAGGGTGTTCTTTCAACTTCCATGCACAATGTACAAATTGTTGGTCCCTAGGGTGCCAAATCTCGATTTAGTGGGCTTTGGAGTGTAGGGTATTAAACATGAAGCATTTGCTCTGTTTCAGCACCACATAGATTGTACACTACTCCTGGGAGGCCCAAAATACCAGAAAAACCACCCCTCAGACCTGGTAAGTTGTTTCCCTTTCTGATGACCCAAACAGTCAGCACATCTGAGAAGATATAAACTGTATCGGAACAGCTAGATGCACTAAAGAAGAGCTATATGCTTAAATTGAAATAAAGGACATACAGAAATTCTGATCCTTGCAGATAAGTGGAGAGGTAATGATGGATCCATGGAACTGACAAGACCTGAGTGAGGTTTTTAAGGAGGATCAGCTTCAGAGACCCTATAGAACTTTATCAATGTAAAATTATTTTTGAAATAGTATTTGTGCATAAATGACACATGCGCGCGCACACACACACACACACTTTTTCAATTTTCCATGACAATTATAGGTAGTATTAACATTCTATGTGACATATTACTTGCTTTCAAATATTATTAATCTTTTTTATTTTATTTTATTGTTTAAAGTATTACAAATAGTAGTACATATGTCTCCTTTTTCCCCCCATTGACCTCCTCCCACCCCCCCCTACCCCGCAGCACTTGCCCTCACCCCCACCCCCAGTGTCTTGTGTCTATTGGTTGTACTTATATGCATGCATACAAGTCAAATAGTATTTATCTTTTAAGAAAAGATAATCTCTTCAGTATAAAAGGCTCTTATTCTGGGAGAATATTTTTACTTTATTCCTTCTGATGATAAAAAAAAAGCACATCATTTTTCAGGTTTTAAACAGTAAAAATAAAGTGATAATTAAACATTAGAAAATACTTTAAATTTACTAAATTCTCAGAGGTTCTAGGATCTCCCTTACTGGAGCTTATTAGGGAAGAGTTAACTGCGGGGGTTGATTTGAGCCATGTAAATGACTTCTATGCTAAAGTACAAGTTAGACCAAAGACTGGTGTTTTCTACCCTTTTTCTACTGTGTTTCTAAAAGTCTTCTTGAATTTATAAATTATGAAACTGGCTTATAAATTAATATTCTTGGTTAACATCTCTCCAGGCACATGGAAGAAAGAACAAATAATTTTTTTCTATTCTTTGGTTTATGGAAAGCCAATAAGTTTTAGAGTAATCCTCCAATTCCTAAATGCATTAGGCACAGAAGTCTTTTATAAACAAATATATCTCCATGTAACTTTTATATCATGATAGCTGTTGACTAAGTGTTTCTACAAAATAATGAATAGTAGCAATACAGGCAGTCCTCGGGTTACATCGGATTCAATGTACATCATTTCATGGTTACATCGCCATCTCCCATTTATTTATAAAAAAAAGGTTCCGTCATTTTGACATATGTACATATGTGCTTTATGTTTTTTATTATTTATTTAACACAAGTAAAGGTCAGGAATTGTTATCTTTCTTTAATTTTTTTTTTTTTTTACTGTTTCACTTCATTGTTGTTGCGTATGTACTCCATGTGAGTGACGTAGGTGCTTATGTAGGTGGGTTCTGACTTATGGGGAAAATCGCGTTACGTGGCGCCATAGGAATGGATCTCCATCAGACGTAACCCAAGGACCTACTGTAATGGCTAACATTGACTGAGGGTTTGCCTTGTGTCCCATTAGGTAGAGTTGAGGAAGCTAAGACATAAGAAGAGCTAGGGAGTAGATTCAGAGTCAAGCAATCAGGGCCCAGTGGTTACTCCCTTAACCATGGTGTATTTAGTTCTTTTCTTTAAAGAGCCTTCTAAGCGAAGGATAAGGCAGGTAACCTCTTAAAGTTTTGATAGTGCTATGGCTGTCAACAGAGCAGGAAAGAAATTGTAATGGTTTTATTACAGTTTTGTGTTCAATGATGGGCTTGTACCAGGATTATCAAGGAGCATCTGTACCTAGAGACTCATGCAAAAGGACCATGAACCTTTGAGTTATGAATTAAGGCCTTGACAAGTAAATACACTTCCAGTTTTGTTTTTTCATTAGCATAGGTCAGTGATGGCGAACCTTTTGAGCTCGGCGTGTCAGCATTTTGAAAAACCCTAACTTAACTCTGGTGCTGTGTCACATATAGAAATTTTTTGATATTTGCAACCATAGTAAAACAAAGACTTATATTTTTGACATTTATTTTATATATTTAAATGCCATTTAACAAAGAAAAATCAACCAAAAAAATGAGTTCGCGTGTCACCTCTGACACATGTGTCATAGGTTCACCATCACTGGCATAGGTAGTCCTGATTGTTCTTCAGTTCATTTTGGAACGCATCTAGTGCTTATAAATGAAGAAAGATATTTCCCATTTAGAAATATAAATTTCCTTGCCAGTTATTTTTTTTTCAAGCCCAGTGATCACATTAGAGTACAAACCCAGGTTTCTATTTCCAAATACAAGCCTATGATTTTTATACCAGAATTGTGGTTTCTATATTCTAAACAATAATTTTTGGTAAGCCATCTTTTTTTATTGCTTGGTTAAATGATTTACAATTCCCTGGGAAGTTTTGTTTTCCTTGGCTACAAATTATTATAAGAAAATGTCTGAACTATTTCTTTCCCACTTTATTATAGTTCTGAATAAGACAACTACAAGACCTACTAGACCCAAACCCAATGGGATGCCCAAAGGGACTGAAATGGGAACAGGTAATGATCACAAATTTATTTCCTTTTGATGCTGCCAAAACTATAAGTGTTTTCATTCAATTTTTATAGTTTTGTTGAATTCTCACTTCAATTTCTTTTTTACTAGTTTTGGAAGTTCCTAGCTTAAGGAATTGAAAATTGTAATGCATTCCAAAGTCAAAACATCCTATGTCTCTGAAAACATTAAAGGAGAATTTATTATTTTTTCTAAACACAGGTCACTAAATTAGCTACCATACATGGGCTTGATTCTTCAAAAGATCCTGATTAAATATGAATTATTGAATTAAAATATCAAAATAGCTGTTTTCCTTCATTTCAAAACATGTCCTATACACAGGCTTGGTCTTTGAGACTGAAATCACTTGGTTTTCAACTTTATAATTTCACAAATACCATTATAAATTTTAAAAGACCTAAATCTGTTAGAAATCTTGACTATAATATTTAAATAAGAAGGGGAATTGGCAGTTGATCACCCTTGTTATAGTAATATTAATGTTTACAAATTATACTGTTTAATTAAATGACATTAATTTAGTCACATCTATAGGAGTAGGCATCATACAGATAACTAGGAAAATGATCTGATAAAAATTTAAACACCCAACTACCCAACTCACTAAGTGTATAAATGATAGTTTCGATGACTTAATATGGTATGGCATCATTCCCTTGTAATATATATTTATTAATATGTATGGTATATATTTATATATATATAATTGTTACTTCTCACCCGAGGATATGTTGTTTTCTCTATTGATTTTTAAAGAGAGTGTAAGGGGTGGGAGAGACAGAAACATCGATGTGAGGGAGACACAATGATTGGTTGCCTCCCACATGTGCCCCGACCAAGGTCAGGGATCAAGCCTGCAACCAAAGTACATGCCCTTGACCGTAATCAAACCTAAGACCCTTCAGTCTGCAGACCAAAGCTCTAACTACTGAACAAAACTGGTTAGGGCAATATTTTTTAAATAGTACAAAATTTGTGCTTGTTTATGTAAAAAAGCATGAAAATGAGAATTTATTTAATGATATATATTTAATCAACCCATGATGTTTCCTAATGAGAAAGAGATGTAAATAATACCGGGAGATATTCAGTATAAAAATCATTTAGATTTGTTTTAGAATCTTTTTTGTATCAGGTTATTATAGTGTCTGAAGTTCTAGGAATTAACTTCCCTGCCAACCAAGTAATGAGACAACTGTTATAAGTTCCTGACTCATGAGAAGTAAGAGAGCTCTGATACTTATTTGTGCTTAGCTGCTCCTTTTATTCTTCACAACAGTGAGATTAGGCAATGCATAGTTTCTCAACTTGACATGAACAATCTGGCTCTAAACAGAGCCAACTTCTTAATATTCAAAGTAATTCTCTCAAGTTTGTCTAAGTAAAAATAAAAGAAAGCACTTATGTCAACAAAGCAAATGAAAGAACAACTAGCTATGATCAAACTTGAAAGTCTTCAAGCTTCAGTACAATCAAGCATTGATTCTCACTAGGAAAGTGCTCATTGTTCCTCAGAGGGAAAACAGAGTCATTATATTTTAGTTTATCAACAATATAAACATTTTTTCAGAGCCACTTATAACACAAACTGACATATATTACCCTCTTGTGTAGATGAAGTCAACTATGTAGTAATAACTCATGTAACTTAGCCTTACATAATCTCTTATCAGGGCTTTTTCAATCTAATTAGCTGGTTGCTGGTAGAAAGGAGCTGGTGGGCATAGGTAGACAAAGCTGAGCTCACTCTTTCCCTTCTCCTTGCTTCACCTCCATCCTCAACCAAATTGTGTTGCAACTGTTCTGTGTTCTAATGTCTGTCTATTGGGATTTCCCTTCAGAAAAACACTTGCTTCCCACCTGCAGGGAGTGAGATCAGCAGATAGCATCCAAGGTCAACCTCTAAGATCTGGGTGGCATATTTCCATGTCACGTACAATAACACATAACAACCAAATGACATTTACCTCAGGGATACAAGATTGGCTCAACATTCAAACAAATTAGTGTAATTTTCTACATTAACAGAGCAAAGGAGAAAAATGATATGACCATCTCAATAAATACAAAAAAGCCACCATTAGACAAACTTCAAAATTTATTCATGATGAAAACTCTCAGAAAACTAGGACTTGAAAAAATTTTCCTCACTGATAAAGGGCATATGTGAAAAATCTACAGTTAACATTATACTTAATAGTGAAAGTCAAAATATTTTTCTCCTAACATCAAGAACACAAGCAAGGGCTTCTATTTTTATCATTTCTTTTGGAAATAGTAGTGGCATATGTAGCCAATGCACTAAGTCAAGAAAAGAAGTATGCAGTATAAAAACTGGGGATCACAGATGACATTATTTATCATCTTATGAAAGGAAAGTTTAACAGCTCTCAAACTATTTGCCTAGGGAATAAAAAAATTGGTAAGAAAAAGAATGTTTAAAATATATTCTCTCCAGATTATAGGTTTACATGAGTTTACCTTTCTTTGATTCTGCATAGTTTTGATCTGATTTGTTTGCAGAAATGCAGGTATTCACATTAAGTTTATTTTCTTCTCTGACCCAGTCCCACTTTCTCATCCACATTCACTTCTAACCTCCATTGAGTCTTAATGAAACAGTTTTTCAGTGTCAACTTCTTCCTTATCCAACTTTCACATCTTGCCCAGAATATATATCTTTATTATCCATCTCACATACATTTTTCTATAGTTTTCCTTGCTGAAGTTTTCAACCCAGATACTTTATAATAAAACTAGTGGCCCAGTGAACGAAATTGGGGGTGGGAGGGCGGGAGAGTAGGAGGTTCTGTCAGCCCAGCCTGCAACCTCTCCAATCGGAGACCCCTTGGGGGATGTCTGACCACCAGTTTAGGCCCAATCTGGGACTGTTGGCTTCTAACCGCTCACCTGCCTGCCTGCTTGATCCCCCCTAACTGCCTCTGCCTTCCTGCCTGATCGCCCCTAACCTCTCTGCCTGCCTGCCTGATCTCACCCCCAACTGCCTCTGCCTGCCTGATCACCCCTAACTGCCCTCCCCTGCCAGCCTGATCTTACCCCCAACTGCCCTCCTCTGCCACCCTGATCTCACCCCCAACTGCCCTCCCCTGCCAGCCTGATCGCCCCTAGCTGCCTCTGCCTTGGCCCCCACCACCATGTCTTTGTCTGGAAGGAAGTCAGACATCCAGAAGATGGCCAGTTGACCTGGTCTAATTAGCATATTACCTTTTTATTAGTATAGATAGATTATATAGGATAGGATTGCTTAAAGGGGGGGCGGGGGCGGGGAGGAAAGCCTTTTTCAGCAGAAGGAGATGCTCTTGGCAGACAAAAACACATAATTCCTATATCTGGACTGATAGCCAGCCATATGCACTATGCTGCCAAACCGGTCATTAAAAAATTGAACCGCTTTCTTACACCTTACACCACACAGCTGCTGCCCTTAAAACCCCTCCTCAGCCCCCACCTTAGGTTCTCTGTCTTTGTAGTTCACCCAGATTAGGTTCTGATTGGTCAGTTTCTATGCCAGTCAGCATCAAAAGCTCCGCCTCCTAGGCAGCCATTGGCTCCTGGCACTTCACCCAGATTTGGTTCTGATTGGTCGGTTTCTATGCCAGTCAGTGTCTCTGGGCCTATCTCTGGGACTGATCAAAGAGGCGGGGTTGATCAGCAGCCCCACCAGAGGCCCAAAGAGAAACAGAGGTGCGACTGCTGGCGAAGCCGGGAGAGAAAGAGAGAGGCAATGGCTGATCAACAACTGCCACAGAGGCTGTGGATCAGACCCTGCCTCTCCCTCTGCAGGCCTCTCTCCAAGCCTGATCCGCAGCTCCCTTGGCAGTTAGTGCTGGGTTGCTGCACCAGCACCAGCTGCAATCAGTGCTGGGTCACCATGGCAACCCAGCACTGACTTCCAGTGTTCGCTGGAGCCTTGGTTGTTGAGGACATTATGGACCCTGGCTCTTTATATATAGAGATAAAATCAGTTGATAAATGAAGTGTTTAGGATTTATAGGACATATTCTTCATGGTCTCACATCTCTTAAGGTTTTGCCCTTGGAAGACTAAAGAAGCAAGATTCTAAGGCCTCAAAACGATCAACCTTTGGTTATTTTGGGCCTCTATAATAATTTCACTATGATTGCATAAACTGCAGGAATCTTTAAGCCATCTTGAGCCAAGAAAAATAAGTATCTTATTTTACTGTTACAGATATTTATCCTGCTTTATGTACATTCCATGCCTATATGCATAAATATTTTTCCACCTCAAAATTAGAAAGCAGCCTATAAGAGGTTGAAGTTTTAGGTAGGTCACCATCTCTGCATCTCTTTTTTCATGGCTTTTAGAGCTGTGCCTCAGCTTAACTTATGTGTTCTACATATTATAACCAACTTCAGAGATGCAACAAGCATGCATTAGATCTCATAAACTAGAGCCCCACAGGCCAAATTCAACTCACTGTTTACTTTTGTAAATAAAGAGTTATTGAAACATAGCTTGCTTTCTCTGTCAGAATTGAATAGTTGTGACAGAGACATATGGCCCACAAAGCTGACAATATTTACTATCTGACCCTTGACAAAATGTTTTCCAACCCTGTGCTAGACAGTCTCTCAACTTTCTCCCTACAGAAGAAAGCTGCTGAGTTGTGTAGCTATTATTTCATTCAACCAACATTTATTGAAGGCCCACTAAGTGCTAGGTAAAGTGTAATTTGGAAACCACCTTGGCACATGTAGTTTGGCAGATATGTTCCATACTTGAACCCCAGACTCCTCTTTCTACATCCTGATGAGGTGGACTTCACTGCCCCCAAATGGAGTTTGTTTGACAAGCAAAACCCAGATTCCTTTTTTGATTTGTGTATTTACATTTAAGGAATGTGTTTGAGCTGTGGCTAAATCTTCCAGTCTGCTGGCTCATCTCCCCTGACTTTTTAGCTAGGTGCTAAGATTTGGAGACAAGGGTGAGGAGAGCAATTATCCATAAACACCATGCCTTTATGGTTATAAGAAATAGAGTCTCTGATACATTTGGAAATTGATGTCCAGTTTACGATGTTTCTTTGCAAGTTTTTTGTTACCATGGTTAAAAATACCTGAATCATTACTTTATTTTTGACAATAAATTCCTAAGAGGTGAACTGTGTAAATCCAGAAAATTTTGGAGAACTCCCATTTGGCTATCAGGAGCTCATAGTGAATGAAACTCAAGTGTTGGTGTTTCCAGAGACAACCCTGTACTTTAGAAAATATGTGGATTAATCCTGACTGAGGGAAAAAGAATTCAGATCACAGCCTGGGACAAAGTGGCTGATGATGTACCAGTTCCTGAGAATTCTTTCTCTGCCGTATCTCTCTTACTGGCTTCTTCCTTTCCCTTCCATTTCCTCTCAGCTCCCTTTGGCCTTTACCTGCTCTCCTCTGATTCAGGGAAACAGAAGTTCACTGGTCTGCAGCCTCTGTGCTCACACTGCTGCCGAGCTCGTGTGCAAACCACAGCGAGGAGGAGGCAAGGCCAGAACTGGAGTGCAGTCTTTTGTCCTCAGTTCAGTGCTCTTTCCCTGAGCCCCATGGCTGCTTTCACAGGAATTTGCCAGTGGTTTCATCTACCACTAGCTTTTATGTGTTTTACAGACTAGCTGGAGTCCAGCTTATCAGCTGACACTTTATTGATCTGGGTATTTACATTTAAGGATCGTAACAATATGATGCTCTGTCTCTACCTTTACAGAAAGTGATAGGAAATGGCTGGTTTCTGCTGATTGCTCCCTTACTTAGAAAAGAAACCAGTTTATATCTATGGTCTTACTCATAAAGTATTCCTGCAGAATTTTGGATTCTCTCCTAGATCTCCAGTTCAGCAGCCCATGGCTGGTAGATATGGCATGTGCATGGTGGTATCTGCCATCAGCCTTGTATTACATTATCCTGAGTCCCACACACCAGTGGCATGGCTGGATGATACATGCATGCCAGTCCTGACCATGTAGCCCTCACACAGTGGTGGCCCTTTAAAACACCCAAAGACAGAGTGTAGGACTCTAGGGCTGAAGTCACTTAGAGTCATTATAAGAAATAAGAGAAGAATGAAAATGACAAGAGGGAGATAGTATTCTCTACTATCCCACTAAGGACTTAAGAGATCGGCTTAGGAGCCAGGCACATGTGGATCTGAATCCCACCACTTCTAGCTGTGGGTCCTTGGGCATCTGCTTAGTCTCCCCTTGCCTTGGGTTTCCTCCTCTGTGGGACCTGGGTGATATCTCCCACCCAGAAGGTTTAGAAGGATCAAATCAGGTAATGACCATGTAAAGTACTTGCACAGCATCAAATCAAAACACTTTGATTTTTTTTTTAAGGGTAGAAAATTTTGGAGAAAGGCTATGAGGAAGTATAGTGAAGGCACACACGGCCTACTAGCCTTCCACAGTATATGATACATATTTTACCCTGAACAATAGTGGTAAATCAAATCTCACCGAGCCAGGTCATCCCAGTGACACAGATGGAAGTGTTTTCCATTTCCCTATGCCTTGCCCAGAGCAACCACCCACATGAGTCATTTCCCTGGCCCATTACCGCTGACAGCGGGGCACAGGATGAAAACTAATGAGCCATTTGTTTCCACCGTGCCTGTAGGGTTAGCCACAAAATAGTCATTGACCCCAGAAACATTTTTTCCTACCGCAAATTAGCAATAATTAATTCATGACTCCATATAAGCTTTCACTAATATTTCATATATTATCTTTTATTCAAGCAGCAGAGAGTATGAATTATAATGTTTGGGTTCATAAATTAATGTTAATCATTATTATAATGTTAAAAATTATAATAATGCTAGTATATAATGTTAATAATTATAACATTAATACCAATTATGTTAATTTCTATAACAGTATGCTATGCTTAATGGAAGAATATCATAAGTTAATGGAAGAATATCATCTAACTTTTGGCAAGCAAAGTTGTATATTTAATTTATAGTTTTGGTTGTGTTTGTCATTGTTAATGTACTAACTAGTATGTTAATTAAATGTTCTTATTTTATAGTATGTGAATTATTATAGAATCCTGAGAGTATCTATTCTTCTTTTAGGATGAATAATTATATCTAACGTGATACTTACCTTTTAAATCTAAAAATATGTTTCTAGCCTTTCTTAGTGAAGACTGTCAGCCATGTCAGGGAAGATTATTTTATAATGTAAATGAATAATAGCTCTGACCTGTGTAGCTCAGTTGGTTGGGTGTCTTCCTGTGCACCCAAAAAGTTGCTGGTTTGATTCCAGGTCAAGGCATGCCCGGTTTGCAGGCTCGATCCCTAGTGGGGGCCATGCAATTGATGTTATGCTCTCACATTGATGTTTCTCTCTTTTCCCTTCCTCTCTCAATAAAAAATCAATAAACTATCGATTTTTAAAAGAAAATAATAATAATTTTAAAAGAATGAAACCTAAACTCTGGGCCTGGGTATTTAGATGAATGGCTGAGTAATAACCACCAGATTGTGTTTGAGAAGTTTAGGAGTTCAAATATCACACAAAGTAATTTTCAGATCAGTTTCTTTCAAATAGCAATTTGGAGTACTAGGCCTGCCCGGATTAATTTACAAATCTCAAAGGCACAGATCCAGTTTGTGGCCTACTCAGTCTGATAGCCAAGTCCTCTCCAGAAATATTTTAAAAGTCAATCCATTAAGTATAAACCCAAACACATTGGAATTTTAAGGGTTTTTTTTATGAGGATAGAACGGTTGGAGGAAATTTTTTCAAAACCACAAAATGTGTCCATGAATGTTGGAAAAGAATGGCCAATTACTGTAGATGAGATCCCCCTGGTGAGGCAGTACCACCCAGGAAGGCTGTGCAGACAACATGGAAAATCAAGACAGAAACCACAGCCCACAATCAAGCATTAACTCTTCAGAGAAAATATTACAACCAGTGAAGGTAGCCCTTTGAATTTCTTCTATATGAAGATGGGAGAAGCCAATTAAAATGCCTGGCCCTAAATCACCATGTCCCTGCTCTGTAAAGAATGCATGTTATGCCCAAGGTGGTTTTGCTCAGTGGATAGAGCGTCAGCCTGCAGATCAAAAGGTCCAGGGTTCAATTCCAGTCAAGGGCACATACCTCGGTTACAGACTCCTCCCCGGCCCAGGCTCTGGTCAGAGCTCATGCTGGAGGCAACCAATAGATGTGTTTCTCTCACATCAATGTTTCTCTCTGTCTTTCCCTCTCTCTTTTCCACTTTCCCTAAAAATCAATAGAAAAATATCCGTGGGCAAGGATTAACAAAACAAAAAAATAAATAAACATAAAGAATGCATGTTATTACTGAGACTCTACCAAGTTTCTGTTAATAAGAACATTTAACACATTTTTGCTATATATTTATTTATTCCCTTTTCTTATCTCTGCTTATAGGGGTCAAGCAACCACCAAAGCCATCAGGTGCTGGTAGAAATGCGTCCATGGACTCTACCCACTTCACAAAAAAACCAGGTAAGGGATAGGATGCTGACTTCACCCTTACTCAGCTCTGTGCTGGACTGTGGGCAGTAACTGCAGTATCATTTGTTGCAGCAAAAGCATCAGTATCCTCACGGCCTCTAGAGCAGTGGTTCTCAACCTTCTGGCCCTTTAAATACAGTTCCTCATGTTGTGTTATTTTCATTGCTACTTCATAACTGTAATGTTGCTACTGTTATGACTCGTCATGTAAATATCTGATATGCAGGATGGTCTTAGGCGACCCCTGTGAAAGGGGTCGCGACCCACAGGTTGAGAACCGCTGCTCTAGAGCATCAGAGCCATGCTAGCAGCACATGGGGATTACTAGGAAAGCATTCAAGAATCTTATGTTTGGGAGAATGAAAATGCTCTGTGTACAAATTAAACATTAATAAGAACCTCTAATGGGTACCAATTGAATAATTACTTTGTATAATGTTCTGAAGGGCCATAATGCACAAATGCGGGTGAGTCACTGTGGGTTCTAGTCTTCCTCATGTTCAAGTTTTGCTCTTGTGTAATTTATTACAGTATCCTTTTGCCTGAAATGATTTATGTTTCTAATTTACGACTATGCTCTATATTTGAGGCCCAAATTATGTAGCTGGTGACTTGGAAACTCTTGGCATTGAATAAGAACTCTGTGCTTTTTGAAAGGATACTGTGAAAGCTACTCTGGTGCATTAATGTTGGGGCTACAGATCTAAATTCTGTCAGCACTGCTCACTCCCCACACACATGCACGCACATGCACACATACTTTTTAGTCTCCTAAGAAGAACTTAAAGACACAGGGCATTTTCCTGGATTGTCAGTTGTACGTGAAGTTTAAAAAAATTAATTTTTTTTATTGATTTAAAGAGAGAGGGAGAGAGAGATAGAAACATCAATGATGAGAGAGAATCATCAGTGGGCTGCCTCCTGCACACCCCCTACCGGGGATCAAGCCAGGCATGTGCCCTGATCAGGAATCGAACTGTGACTTCCTGGTTCAAGGTTTGATCACTGAGCCGCACCAGGCTGTATATGAAGATTTTTAAACCAACATATATTATTCAAAGAAAGCTATAACACAGACTTAAAAGAAAATTTGGGTTATGGTAGACTGCTCCAGGCACCCCTAGCCTTACCAGCCTTAGTGCAAAGTAGACACCTTGTGCAATTTTTAAATGTTGCCTCTTCCCTCCATCCTTTAGGTAAACCATTTACAAAAATGTATCCTTCCTCTGGGCTGGCAGCTTTGTACCAGGGCTTGTGGGTGGATGAGTAGAGTGGGTGTTAAACTTTGGTTCCCACTTACACATCTCTGCTCAGCTGCCCTTGTGCACTGCACGACCACTGACAATGACCCTGCTCTCTATGGGTTTATAGCTTCTGCCATCAAGGCTCCTTGGTTGTAATGATTTAAGTTCTGAAAGTGTTCGTTTCATTCTAATTACACTAGAGGCCTGGTGCACAAATTCATGCACGGGTGGGGTCCAGTGGGCCCACCCTGGGGCCGATCGGCCAGGCAGGCCAGAAGGAGGGGCCATGGGCGTTGGCCAGCTGGCCCTGCCCCCTGGTCAAACTCCTGGTGGAGGGGGCAATTTGCATATTAGCCTTTTATTATATAGGATAATAGAGTTTGAGGGTGAGATGGATCATCCACTAACAGAGAAATTATACACTTTAACAATTTAAAGCTAAAACGGTAAGAATTGTAGCCTCAAAATCAAAGGCAATTGCAGATAATGAAACTCAAAAACGCTATTGCTGAGACTATGTGGGAAACTAAAGATGTTAAATTCTATACATTTATACAGTCTTTCAAGAGGCAGGTATACCAATATTTGTTTATCTATAACTAGAGGATGTTTTCATATACTAATGTGCTTCTTCATTATTCCTGAATACATTACAATCATTACTTTAGAAAAATATCAGAAATTACTTAGCACTTTTCTATAGAATCTATGCCATTCAATTACTACTTATCGAATGTTATAATTTTTTAAAACCTGTGATTTTTATAGAGTGAATCCTTATGACAACTTTATCTGTAATATAATCTCTTAGCCATAATTCCAGGCACTCGCCGCCCACCCTTGCCACCTAGACCTACGCCCCCTCGAAGAAAACCATTACCACCAAATAATGTCACTGGAAAGCCAGGAAGTGCAGGTATGTCAGTCATATGCATCCCTTCTCTCTCCATGACTTCAGTTGTACTAGCCAACCACAGCCCTCCTTGCATACTAGCCCAGGCAACTGACAAGCCCTTGGTGTGTGTGATGGTGCCTGGGTTGGCCCTAAAGACCAGACATAGCTTTGAGGACTCATATCCTGATTCTGGGTGGGTGGGTTGAAAGAAACCATCATTGAGCATCCCAGCCAATGTGTCTGCTTGGAGCCAAGACAGAAGCTGACTCAGGCCCTTCCAGGAGTGGATGATTTGGGACAAGATGTTGAATGTTGCCAACCCACCAGGGGTAACAGAAAATGTGAGGCCCTGTCATCAGCTTATCATTCTATCTTCTGAAATGAAATCCCACACATCTTGTTGAAAGCTCCCCTGTCCACCAGCCTTTATGCTGGCTCCAGTATTAGGTAGTGGAGGAAAGATTAGGGACTAAAATATTAGCAGCTCTAGGCTGAGCAACAAGGCAGGGGTATAATTTAGAAGTCGAGCTGCCTCTCACCTCTATGCCTTCGCATGTCTTATCTCCTTCCCATGGAAGGGCCCCTCCAAGTCACCTGGGATGCTCACACTTCACTCTTTTCTTAAAGAAGAGCCTTTTCTATCTCCCCAAAGTCGTCTTAGCATTGCTTCTCTGTTCTACTTGTCCTTGATACACACCTCTGTCAGAGCAAAGATCAAATTGGTTTATACCTGTTTGTTTACACACTTGTCTTCCCCTACTAGACCAGGAGTTCTGTGGGAACAGAGTCCTTGGCACATTTTCTCTGAAATCCCAGAACCAAATCTGGTGTGTGGCACCTAGAGGATATTTGATAAGTTCTCACTGACTGAATAAATGGATGAAATGAAGAATTAATGAAAATTGACCTGGTTCAGAGCAAAGCTTGACCTCATTTCTCTTTGACTGGACTTGCCAGCAAATCACAGCATGTTCCCCATCTTTCCTTCCTCTCTCCGCTATCTCTAGTTCCTAAATATTTTCTAGGTGGAAGCAGGATAGAAATGTTAGACAGCTGTGAATGATGAAAGGGTGAGGGGTTTACATGAAGGGGAATAGATGTCACTCTTTTCCCGGGACAAAAGTAGGCTGTGGTGATAGAGAAGCTTTTCTGATGTATCCCATGCACAGTGGACTCGATCATTTTCCCATGAGCTGAAGGAGGGCTCAGCTCCTCCCGCACGTTTTTGGTGCCTTCCTGAGTCAAGGCTCAGAGGCATGGCTGCAGTGAGGACATCTGGTTCTCCTGTAACCTGGGGTCAAATTGGATGAGTCAGACTGAGAGTGATGCCTGAGTGTCCCCCACAGAAAACTTGGGAACCCACCTGAAGAAGAACCACAACCACATTCCATTTCTGAGATTAACTCTGGTTCCCCACCTCATCCCCCTCATACTATCCACCTCTCACTCAAAGGAAATGGCTCCATGGAGGAGCCAAACACAAGAGCAGTTGTACAATTTTGGCCTGTTTACAGAAAGTCCATCCTGAATTCAGGAATCAGCAAAATGTTCTGGGTGCCTGCAAGCACCCTCTGAGGCTACCCTGTAGATCCTCCACTTGCCCCCTATGTCCAGATCTGCCGAGGCCTCAGAGTACTCCTCCCCTTGCCAAAGTAAAAGTGCGGGCTGCGTGCAACTTCTGTTGGTTTTTGCTCACCCTCTCTCTGTAGTCCGGTCCCACCATGACCAGGAGCATGAGTCTGCTGGGGTTGCTCCAGCAGCCTGTCTGAGGGACTCGTCCATGGTTTCATGCTGGGCCATGATGTTTGGGTCAGTTCTGTGCCCTTGACTCTTTATTGTCTGAGAATGATCCATTTTCCTGGAGGACTGTAAAATCCAATCTAGCCCCCAACCTACTCTACTTAAACACCCAGACTGGACTAGACCTGGGGATGGATCTGGTTTGGGAGACCTATTAGTGTTTTTAGTGGAGGAGACACTGGATTATACTGTTACTGTTCTGACTACTAGGCCAGAATCACAGATGTTACCTTCAAAATCATTTTCTTCACCTGAAGAAGAACCACAACCACATTCCATTTCTGAGATTAACTCTGGTTCCCCACCTCATCCCCCTCGTACTATCCACCTCTCACTCAAAGGAAATGGCTACATGGAGGAGCCAAACACAAGAAGAGCAGTTGTACAATTTTGGCCTGATTACAGAAAGTGCATCCTGAATTCAGGAATCAGCAAAATGTTCTGGGTGTCTGCGAGCACCATCTGAGGCTACCCTGTAGATCCTCCACTTGCCCCCTGTGTCCAGATCTGCCAAGGCCTCAGAGTCCCCCTCCCCTTGCCAAAGTAAAAGTGCAGGCTACGTGCAACTTCTGTTGGTTTTTGCTCACCCTCTCTCTGTAGTCCGGTCCCACCATGACCAGGAGCATGAGTCTGCTGGGGTTGCTCCAGCAGCCTGTCTGAGGGACTCGTCCATGGTTTCATGCTGGGCCATGATGTTTGGGTCAGTTCTGTGCCCTTGACTCTTTATTGTCTGAGAATGATCCATTTTCCTGGAGGACTATAAAATCCAATCTAGCCCCCAACCTACTCTACTTAAACACCCAGACTGGACTAGACCTGGGGATGGATCTGGTTTGGGAGACCTATTAGTGTTTTTAGTGGAGGAGACACTGGATTATACTGTTACTGTTCTGACTACTAGGCCAGAATCACAGATGTTACCTTCAAAATCATTTTCTTCTTCTTCAGCTGTCTCCCATGCCTGCCAGTTAACCTCCCAATCAGGCTATGCCATCATCTTGATATCCCTCATGTCTAATTCCTTCCATCCAGCCTCACTGCTTCTGCTGCAGTTCACCTCGCCTGCCCCTGCCTACACAATTGCTTTTGTCTCCTCTCTTCTCTCTCTGCCACCAGCCTTGCAGCCTAACTATTCATCCTCTTCTCATCTGATCTTGTTGTTTCCCTGTTGAAAGTCTTTCAGTGGTTCCTTGCTGCCTAAAAATAATGTGCAGATCCTGTTATATTATAAATCAGAAGACGCCTTAATCAATAAGCCAAATTTATTTGGAGTCCTGTTCATTTTCACTAGCGCTAGCGGGCCCAGAGGAACTCTTGCTTCTCAAATTCTGGGACCCAATATGGTGGAAGTCTTTTCAATTTATATGTTTTTCATCTCTTTGTTTTCCAAATTTGGAATGAGACTTCTGGACATTCTGAGAAAAAGTCCTATTTGCTGGGACAGGGCCATGAGACCATATCTCAAGGCCTGGCCTGGCGCCAGCACTGACAACTCTGTCTGGGGCATAGTTTATGGCCTCTCTGGAATGGGGAGTGGCCTTATTTCCCCTATTATTTAAGCAAGCAAATGTTTACAGAAGCCAGAATAGCAGGGTTAAAATTTTGAACAGCTGTTTTTACCCAAGGTGGAGGTTACTATGCTTCAATCGGTGGTGCATGGCTCTTCAAGATCTGCTGTCCCTGCCCTCCACTCTTGGTTCTCACGGACCCCAGCAGCACTGTGGGCTCTCACCCTTCAAATTAAAAATACCAAATGGTTACATGCTTCCTTGACTTGGTTCTTCTTGCAACCTCTGATTCAAATACAGCTGATCACTTCCCACTGATCACTTCTTTATTGTCACATCCTCTGTGAAGGCATTTTTACCTCCACAAAACCCTTCACCTTTCCTATAGATATTATTGTTCCTTCCTCTTGCCCTCTTGGTGACTTTAGCCCGTTCTTTCACAATATCGGTAATGATTCAGTATATTTGGCTCACATGTCTCTCTTGATTAAGGATACCAGGTCTTTTCTCTCCAAGCCTGGCATATAGTGCCAAGCTACATGGTAAGTGCCTAATAAATATGCATTGAATAAATAAATGGCGAACTGGGCAGTGCTCTTCTAAAGCCTGACCGCTTTGGCTCTACATTTCAGGGATCATTTCCTCAGGCCTAGGAACTTCCCCACCCCTGAGGGCAACACTCAGGCCTACCGGACCCACCTCAGAGAGAACAGAGAGAGACAAAAAGGAACCAACAGCTCCCGCCTCAGGAGAAGATCTTGGTTAGTATGTCAGTCACTTCCTCCTGGAGGCTTAGCTACAAAATACTCAAGGATTTCCAATTAGGGGGAAAAGAGTCTCAGCTCTGGATCATCTTTGTTACTTAATTTTATGATTAATATGATTCTTTTCAGTTTTAAAATAGTACTTATTTTTAATGCTTTGGCATAGAATATACTCCTTCCCTTCACAGACATAGAGGAAAGTACCTAAACTTTTTAGGAAAGTCTTCCTGAGAAGATATAGATTACCCAGTGCTTCTTACTAAATCACATCATTATAATTACATACGCCTTGTTTTATTAATAAGCATTAGCTGCTTGGTTGTAATCTTTAAAGCTTCATTTATTACACTGTAGAATGCCTAAAGCAGGACACAATTAAAGACCTTTTATTGCAGTTGATGTGAATAATAAAAAAAAAAGAAAATCAAAGTTGTGAACAGTTGACTAGGAGGCATGTTAAATATTTATAGTCTTTACTACTTTTGATTGTATTGTGAAGCTTTATCTTTTGCCAAAATTCTTTATTATACTCCATTCTCAGGTGATATAACTGACTTTAGCTCAAGTCCAACAAGAGAAACTGATCCTCTTGGGAAGCCCAGATTCAAAGGTATGTCTGGTTTCAAATCTTAATTTTGACAAGGCTGTTTGGTGGGTGTATCAGTCAGAAGTTGCTATGCCACCCAACATCTTAGTGGCATGCATATAAGGATTTATTTCTCATATGTGTTCAAGTCAGCTTTATGATGATATTAACAAATGGGGGTCAGTTGATCTAGGATGTTCTTGGTTGGGTGGTTCTACTGGGCCTCTTGTGAGTTGGGGATGGGCTTCTCCTCGTCTGTTCATTCTAGGATGAAGGACCAACAGTGACCCAAAAGAAGCCATTCTCAGGACTATACAAAGTCAAGAGAGGGGGAATCCAAATACAAAACCACATTTGAAGCCCATTCTTGTGTTATACCAGCCAATATCTATTGGCCAAAGAAAGTCACATAGCAATGCTCAAATCAAGAATTGTGGAAGTATACTTCTTTCATGGATATAGAGAATATTTTTGAACACAGAAGAGATGTAATATGATATAGAGCCCAGTATTTCCTTTTGTAATATTTTGTTCTGAAGTATATAACTTGATAAATTTTTACATATGTATATACCCTGAAGCCACCTTCACAATCAAGATAATATCACTTCCAAAAGTTTATAATCCCTCTCACTCCTCCCACCCAACCTATAGTCCCTAGGTAACAGCAAATCTGCTATACTATAGGTTAGTATGCATTTTGTGGAATTTTATATCAATGTCTGAACTCTTTTTTTTTAATCTGGTTTCTTTCACTCAGCCTAATTATTTATCCATGTTGCTGCTTTTATTATTATCCCTTTTTATTACTGCCTAGTATTATATTGTATCCTATATAATAAAACCCTAATATGCAAATTGACCAAACAGGGGAATGACCAGTGGAACAACCGATCACTATGATGTGCACTGCTCCCCCCCCCCCTCCAGAGGGAGGTGACTGGCGGTGGCGATTGGGGGGGCAGGGCCAGCCAGCGGGTGGTGCCAGGACGCCAGCCAAGGTGCCAGCAGAGCCCTCCCAATAGCCCCACCCATCGTGACCAGTGGAACAACCGATCACTATGATGTACACTGCTCCCCCCCCCCAGAGGGAGGTGACTGGCGGTGGTGACTGGGGGGGCAGGGCCAGCCAGTGGGTGGTGCCAGGATGCCAGCCAAGGCAGGTGCCAGCAGAGCCCTCCCAATAGCCCCACCCATCGATTACCCCACAGATAGCCCTGATCGCCAGCCAGGCCTAAGGACCCTACCCTATATATTGGGAACAGTCTCTTACATTTAAAAATTAAAACCTGGCAAGGCTACTCTAACACTGAAAAAAACAGGATGATGCAGCGATAACATGCATGGACTCTGGCTTGCACATTTTGTGGTCAGACCTGATTCTGACACTTATAACCGTGTGACAAAGCCAATTACTTAACTTCTCTCTGCTTCATTTGGGGAAAATGGTACTACTGCCTCAGAATGATCTTGTTATGTACTACTTTTTATAATCAGGGCAAAAAAATGTAGCTGCCCATACAACAGCAAGATGCCTTTCACCTGTATGAAAAGTATGGTCAGTGGTGCATGCAGTGTCCCAGATTGCGAGAGGGATGTCCAACTGCCGGTTTAGGCCTGACATCCCCTGAGGGGTTCTGGATTGCAAGAGGATGCAGGCCGGGCTGAGGAATCCCGCCCCCCATGCATAAATTTAGTGCACTGGGCCTCTAGTAGATATATAATAATTTAAGTAATCCTGTTCATGGCATTTGGGTTTTCTCTAATTTTTTTTTACATTAATATTAAAGCTGCTATGACCATTCATAAGTTTGTGTAGACATATGTTTTCATTCCTTTTGGACAAATTCCTATAAGAGGAATGACTAGATTATATGTACATGTATAGTTAAAATTTTAAGAAACTGCCAAACAGTTTGCCACAGTAGTTGTATTATTTTACCCTCCTGTCAGCAGTATATGAAAGTTGCAGTTTCCCCATGTCTTTGCCAACATTTGGTGTGGTCAGTCTTTTTCATTTCAGCCATTTTAATGGTGTGTAGTAGTATCTGATTGTGATTTCACTTTGCATACCCCTAATGACTAAGAATGACAAACATCTTTTCATGTCCTATCTTCCATCTGCATATCTTTATTGTTATGTCTGCTCAAAATGTCTGTCCATTTTTTCTTATGGAGTTGCTTATTTTATTAGCATTGAGTTTTGGGAATCTTTATATTTTCTGGGTAGGAGATATTTGTCTGATACATGCTTTGCAATATTTTCTCCCAACATGTGGCTTCTCTTTTAATTTTAATGAAGCTTGCTTTATAAATTTGTTTTTTTATAGATTGTATTTTTGGTGTTGTCTTTGAGAAATCATGAACTAATCAGAGGTCATAATGACCTCCTCTGTTCGCTTCCAGTTTTCTAGTTTTACATCTAGGTTCTATGACCATATTGAATCAAATTTTGTATGTGACACAAGCTAATTTTCTTGCTTATGGATACCTAATTTTTCTGGCATTTGTTAGAAAAAAAACACTATTCTTTCTCCACTGAATTTTATAGTATCTTTGTCAAAAATCAATTGTATATACACTGAGTGGCCAGATTATTATGACCACCTGACATTTGTAGGCAAATTAACTATAATTTTGCGCTGAAGGTGCTAGAGCCCAGACCATTATAAATAAGGAAGCAGGTTGTTTACCACGACAGTAGAAGTGATTTTTTTCTGAAGATA